GGGGGGGGGGGGGGGGGGGTACGCACACTATCTGCTCTAACAACAAGCAACCCGCCTCTTCGTCGATGTAAAGTTTGTGAGGATCTTGTGTCAAATAGAACACTGAAGGAACCCCGAGAGAAGAAACTTGAGCTCAGTGCACCTATGTTGCCAATCCTGCTTGTGACACTATAATGTCAAAAAGTAAATAAAATAAATACCCTTGTGCGTTTATCGCTTAAATTATATGTGGTTGTCTATAAACTAATTACATTGGCTATTTCAACACGTAATGAAAAACGACTCATAAGAGATGATAAGGGTGTAGTCATGAGTCTAATTCTTACGTACATCCTGCCACCTCAGTAGAAGCCAACCAACGCTCATCCCCAATAAAAGGCGACTAAATCTTGATTTCTGACCAAAATTCTAATTTTTTTTCTTTCATATACTTTGATAGCTCAAAATTAATAACTGCAAGATCTTTACAAGTCCATGCACACTAAGAATGCCTTGGATAATTGTTTTATAAATAAACCATTAGCGTTTTCAAAATATAATTTGAAAATTCTAGTTGAAGACTTGTAGAAGTTTATGTTATTGTGTACATCACAATCAATATCCACATACCCATAAGTTTTGAAGAGATAACAACTTTAAAAAATAATTTGAAGTTATACGCAAGAACAGACTAAAAGGAATCCAATACACCGTTCAAACACGTTTTCAAAGAACTTTTGTTCCATAAAATAGATCCTAAATCTAAAAATAGGAATTCAAGTCACTGCTGAAATAACACAGTCTAAAAGTTGAAAAGGGAGAGATGGAAATTGAAAAGGGAGAGATGGAGAGAGCAAGAAAAACTTACCCACATTGGATTGGAGATATCTTATTTGTTGAAGGTCTTAGCATGCACTGAGGACGGATTCCCAATTGAGCAATTGATGTTCCACAAGGTATAATGGCCATTGAAACCATGTTCAGCGAAGTAGGAGCCAATGAAAAAGCTACTTACTCTTGATTGGATTCTGCAATTTAACGATGTAACCATGAAACCCTTTACTAGACACGAGATATTTCACATTACCCAAGCATTAAACCAATGCAAAAGACAATTTGCTTTTCCAATGGACAAATTAACTAACGACTTGATACTTATAACAGGTTCCAACAGGATTATAAGATTTAAGAAAAATTTTAAATGGTGAACAACCCTTGTAGCAACTAATTATCAATACGATTCTAGGTATATAACACCAAATTTTCATTGCAATCAAAACAATAAAGAGCAGGAAAAATGAACTCTATTAACAATCTAAGTCTCAGATAACACAGTGAATAAATACAAGTAGTTTAAGGGGAAACTCCGAAACTGGACCCAATCACACATAAGTGAAGAGTAGTGACGAAACTTCATCTTTATAGAAGCCAATACTTAGACAAAATTTTATCTCATTCCCAGCATCACATTCTCTTCCCTTTATGTACGTTCGTACTCTCGTAGAGTCATTCCTTTCTTTATTACCTCCAGGAAAAAGCAATCTTAAACCGGAAATGCCAATGTAGGCCAATCCTCCCGATTCCAAGGTACGAAAGGAATAACTATCCATACTCACTTCAAACACACAACTGATTTCAAACAAACCAAAATAAATACACAACCTAAAAACACGAAGCAAATAAACGCCAAACTACTGTCGCAGTAGGTTTTCCCCAGGCAATGAACAACAAATCAACAGAGACAAAAACAATAAAGATTTCAGAAAAAGAAAAAACAAAACAACGCATATAACAGAACTGAAGAAAACGAAAGACAACAAGAAACACAAGAACTGATGAAACAAAGAACAAGAAGCAAGTTCATGAATCGCTCGAATAAGCTAATGTTCTTGAAATCTTAAAGAAGAAAAGAAGTTAGGGCATGCAAGCCGAAATTACCAGTTCGGTGCAACACTTCTGCTTCGAATCCGACTCTGAAATGCTCAGAGAGAGAGAGAGAGCAAGAAAAGTGATAGGGAGCAGAAGAAGCAGAGAACGGCCTACACGGTTGCAGGCGAAGAGGAAGATGAGGTTAGCGAGTTCGGGAGTAATAAGAGGAGAATTGTCGACATTTCTTTTTTCTTTTTTTTTTTTAATTTTCAGGAGTTCTCCATTAATTTGAGTTAATCAACAGATTTGGACCGTTGGATTGAAGTGCCTGAAATGAAACTAACGGCGTGAGATCAAGGTTTGAGGAAGCTTGGGTTTGGAATTATTTGTTTTCCCTTTTTTGATATTAAAACTAAGGCTATTTATTAAATAAATATTCTGAAATTTTATTTGTATCTTTTTCTTCGAAATTTTGTATTAAAATACGATGCAGAAAATTAATTTACATTTAAATGGTTATAAACTATTTCTAGCATAAAAGAAGATTATAAGGAATTACAAATTTAATCTTTATGTTTGTCCATTTAATTAATAATTATTTATAAAAATTCAATAAATACATAAAATTTTAATTTTTTTTCAAAAAATAGAAATTCAAAATTACATTGAAATATCCCGTCAAACAAGGTCTAGGTCATCAGATTGTCTGTAGCTCATTCTCTGAACAACAACAAGGATTATCTGTAGCTCATTCCCTGAACAACAAGGATTGTCTGTAGCTCATTCCCTGACCAACGTGAGCCTATTCCCTGAACAACGTGAGCCTTGAAGCTAAACCAAGTTCTTTTATCCATGCAATCGATGGAAGAAACCTCTTCCAGTCGCTAATGTCCCTAAACCAACAATTTTGTCTAAATCGAACTCATATATATATATATATTCTTCGATTATACTTATTTTAGGTAAAAATTTATAATAAGAAAATTTGATTCAAAATGATGCCCCCACAATCATTTTTTTTCTTTATTATTATTTTTTTTAAAAGGAAATTTCCGGAGACACCTAAAAAGGAGAGAAGCCAAAAAGAATAATAAATAGAATAAAAGTGCGAAAGATGGAGCTCAAAACAATCCAACAGAGGTTATTAACATCAATTTCGAAAGCCATCTAAAAATACAATCATAATCGAACAAGAAACGTATAAGAAATGGAAACATATATATATATATATATATGAGACTACCTATGTTTATAAATCAAGATTGTGTTACCAACTGACAAAATCATCATGAACGTTTAACTGTTCTATACATGAATCCACATTCACTGCCTTCCATAAAGAATCAAATCAAAAAGGCTCTTAGAGATGAGTGTGTGTTCTTCCCCATAATCGAACAATTGATGGTGAAGTCTGTCAATTAGAATTTATGTCAACCCCTTTGTGTTTAAGGTACTCTTTGGCCTCATCAATGTCCTACAAAAGGAACCCAATGTGAGATCTGTTTGTACATCTTTCAGTGTTAATAATGATACATATGGAAATTCAAACAACATTCCCCAGAGAACGAGAGGACCATATAAGAAAATAGGTCACGGAGATATAAACCTCCGATAGAGCGAGAGGACCATATAAGAAAATTGGTCACAGAGATTTAAACCTCCGAGAGAGAGCGAGAGGACCATATAAGAAAATGGGTCACGGAGATTTAAACAACCATATAAGAAAATTGGTCACGGAGATTTAAACGACCATATAAAAAAATTGGTCACGGAGATTTAAACCTCCGAGAGAGCAAGAGGACCATATAAGAAAATGGGCCACGGAGATCTAAACCTCCAAGAGAGCGAGAGGACCATATAAGAAAATGGGTCACGGAGATTTAAACGATCATATAAGAAAATTGGTCGCGGAGATTTAAACCTACGAGAGAGCGAGAGGACCATATGAGAAAATTGGTCACGGAGATTTAAACCTCCGAGAGAGCGAGAGGGTCGTATAAGAAAATGGGTCACGGAGATCTAAACCTCCGAGGGAGCGAGAGAACCATATAAGAAAATGGGTCATGGAGATTTAAACGACCATATAAGAAAATTGGTTACGGAGATTTAAACCTCCGAGAGAGCAAGAGGACCATATAAGAAAATGGGTCACGGAGATCTAAACCTCCAAGAGAGCGAGAGGACCATATAAGAAAATGGGTCACGGAGATTTAAACGACCATATAAGAAAATTGGTCACAGAGATTTAAACCTCCAAGAGAGCGAGAGGACCATATGAGAAAATTGGTCACGGAGATTTAAACCTCCAAGAGAGCGAGAGGACCATATAAGCAAATGGGTCACGGAAATTTAAACCTCCGACCTCAAGGGAAGAAGTAAATGTCAATTATTGCTAAGCTAGCGAGATGGACAGTTTGTTGTATGGTATGGAAGTTGCACGTGAGGGCATTTCAATCTTAGTAATGCCTTGGATATGGAAACTCAAACATTCCAGAGAAAGAGAGAAAGAGGGCCATTTGTTGTATGATATGAAAGTGCAATTGAGAATAAGAGGGAAGCAATACCTGCTGTAACAACAGGCCTTCTCTAGGACATGTTGGGAATGTCATTAGACCGATTCCAACCATCAATAGGCCATAGCATCCCAGGGAGACGATAAAATAGATGGGTAACTGGAGGGATGAGGCATGCAATGTAAGCCCAACTGAGTGTCTAAAATGATGAAAATAAATATGAAGGATTTAAGAAAATAATGACTGAATGTTAACTCACCAGCCAAGCATGACCATGTGGTATTATAGATGCCTGCAAGAGACCAATCCATAGAGCTGATACGGCCACCAACAATGTCAAAATTTTCACTATATGCTTCATAGACTGAAACAAGTAATGATCTGTCAAAATAGATCGCTATTATTTACTAACTAGATCAGACACTGAGCAGCTAACTCTCAATCATGAACTCTTTATGGCTAAATACGCATTATCCACAGACATAAGTTGTGAATTTGTGATTCAAATACATTAGTGATTCTTTTCAAAGTCCGCTCAGGGAAATTTGCAGACTATGCACATTACCCTACCTATAAAGCAATCTTTTATGTTATTCACAATAGAGGTTCCATCGGGTTGCGGATACTTCGGCCGTAGCTCGATTGGTAAACAGGCGGTTTTTCAGGGCTTCATAGACGTAACTTTTTTTTAGGTATTAGACTCCAAAGAAGCACGAAACTTGGGAACTGATCACGGAAGAAAGTGATGTAGAAATGGAAAATTCCGAAATGAAGGGCTTTTCTTTAACAACTTATATCATTGACGATAAAGGGTTAGAACTTAGAAGGCTAAATCATATAAAACACAAATCAAATATGGGACTAAAATAGCCCCTGAAATAGTATATGTAGAACAATATTAAGATAAAATGAGTTTTCTGAAGCTTGTAGGATATTCTTTGAAAAACATGTGGACATATAATTTATGCTGATAATATAATATAAAGCAACATGAGCCCTTTTTTTCAAGATAAAAAACATATGGGGCTGGACGATTCGACTCACATACCTCTTTGTCAAGGTATTGACCAAACCAGTTGAGTTATGCTTATGCTTAGGGCGGGCGAACCAACATAAACCTTAGATACTTCATCAAAGCAAAACAAAATTTAAATTAAAAAGCTACTAATTGATAAAATGCCAAATCATTCATTATGTTTGATAGGTTACAACAAAAAATGAAACAATCTATAGCATTTCATCGCATTAATTAAGTGTCTTGAACTCAATGACCCACCTAAATGCATAACCAACTAGTTGAGTACACAATGACAATCAGTACATTTTTGGTGCATCTATCAAAAGTATCAAAAAAGATAGAAAACTTCTTCGCTGAACTATTAATTCTTTATAACATCTGGAACACTCAAGAGAGAAATTAAATTTCAAAACAATTTCCATTGCCATCAGAGGGGATTTCATAAAAAGATTATTTCACAGCTCAGAGTAGCACATTACATGAACTCAAAGCCCTTGCGCAATGTCCCAACATCACATGGCAGTTCGCTCGAACTATTAACCAAAAAATGTAAACGCATTGAGAATTTTAAATGAAAATAACACACCACATGCCTGAAAGCATCAAACCACCAATTACCTATTCTTTATATCATGATTATTTTCTTGCTGATCGACACATATTTCAGTCAAACGAGAAGATCAAGTGAGAAAGGAAGAGACTTATGAAGGAAAATAAATAAATAAACTTACCCAGCCGTCGGCTACGATAGAACAGAACGGATCTAGTGGAGATTACCCGCCGGAAACCGGTAAACGACTGGAAAAAAGGGATTAGAGAGTAGGCGGAGAATCGAATGAGAGAAAGGAAGAGACGCGAAGAAGGGGAAAAAAAAAAGCCCTAGCAAGAAGGGAATTCGGACTAGGCACTGTCGTTGCCGTTGGACTTACAAATTTCTTTTAATAACAATATAAATAAAATAATTAAAATTCCGACCTGCCGGATTCGAACCAGCGACCTAAGGATGGCCATTTGGAATATCCCAACTACAGTCCTCCGCTCTACCAACTGAGCTAAGGTCGGTTTTTGTCTTATTTGAAGATACTTTTATTTATAATAACACTATAAGTTTCTAAAATCGTGGTAATTATTTTGGATATTATGGAGGTAAATTGTTTATTTGTGTGCATAATATGTGACCTTGTAGTAATCGGTTATGGTATGTATACATAAGAGTTGAACCGCGATAATTATTTATCTGTGTATATGAAATTTTACTAGTTTTGTACAGGTTTAATTTCTCGTTAATTGTTGTGATTATATGCACATATAAATTCAGTAGGAGGTTAGTTACTAAGTATTTTCAATACTCAACGTTTTCAAAAATATTTCTAGATAAGGGTAAGGGTGTGTAGAGGCCGTGATATGAGGATGTGTGCTGTGACCATTGAAGACCATCGATATAAACTTTTAAAAGTGTCTTTAAAATTTTTAATATTTCAATTTTGTTTCTACAAATTCATAACTTTATGACTGATAGGGCATTGACTTATTAATTATGTATATCGATGATTGAGAAAATTAAAAAAAAATGAACAATTTAATCAAATATATATTAACTAATATAATTAAAAAGGAAAAGGGAAAATGATTGAGAAAAAAAATTGATCAATTTAATCAAATAATATTAACTAATATAATTAAAAAAGAAAAAGGAAAAGGGTATAATTAAAAAGGAAAAAGGAAAATGATTGAGAAAAAAAAATTGAACAATTTAATCAAATATATATTAACTAAATATAATTAAAAAGAAAAAAGAATATGGAATATAGAAATATTTTTTTAAATAGAAAAAATGATTGAGAAAATGAAATAAAATATCCGACCTGCCGGATTCGAACCAGCGACCTAAGGATGACTTTTGGCATTTTCAACTACAGTCCTCCGCTCTACCAACTGAGCTAAGGTCGGATATTGATTAAGAATCGAGTTTTTTATATTTAATAATCATATATACTAAATTTCTGCTTTAGTGTGTAAACTTTACCTAAAAGAATAAAATTAAATTTTATTGACCATATAAGTAAACGTCGAATATATAATAAATTATAAGCATATGCAAAAATAATTTATTATTAATTAATTTAAATAAATATTTCTTTATTTTTTAAAAATATTTTCATAAATGCTCATCAACATAACATTTCAAAGTTCCCAAACTATATGTATTTTTCACTTTTTTATCAAATGGTTGAGAAAAGAAAAATAATCCGACCTGCCGGATTCGAACCAGCGACCTAAGGATGGCTATTAAGATTTCTCAACTACAGTCCTCCGCTCTACCAACTGAGCTAAGGTCGGTAATTGAAAAATTGGTTGAAAAGAAAAATCCAAGATGGATGAGAAGGAAGCGAACAAATCGATAGTAGTTTATAGGGTTACTCAAATTTAATTAATTTCTTTGTCTTTAGGAGAGCGAAGTCAAGGTGAAGGAGAGAAGCACATTAATAGGAGCGAAGCCGAGTTGGGAGAGTCGCGCTCACATTTTATTTTACACGCTTAAAGGAGTAAGACCGATAGCTGCTTTTGTCTTTTTCATATGCTCAAGTGTAAAAGTTATTCAAAGATATCATGTATTTTAAATTAGATATATAACAAGTTCAATTATATTTTTAAGGTTATGAACGAAAACGGTTCGATTCTACCATTAATTTAGACCGATTTTTTAATGGTCGGGCCAACACGAAATGGAGATAAAAGATGGGATTAATTAAGATGCAATGGGATTGATTTGGAAGCGATAAGAAATCAAACGCTACAAAAAGGTGAGTTCGTTGAAGGGGAAAGGGTGGGGTTGGTGGTGAGAAAAGGCTTGATGTGTTTGTACATTTCTCTTGGCTTCTCTGCACTGAACGCATGCCCTGCTTCCTTTACGACCACTAATTCGGCCTTTTCCCCCAACTGCCTGAAATCATTCAAATTCAAATATGTATGATGTTGTTGATTTATGTCGTTTTTTAACTTGTTAATTTCTTTACTCGTTCTAGTTTAGGATTTAACTTGATAAAATTACGAGCATATAATACTCGAAAGATTCTCGCTAACCTGTGAGGAGGAATCTCGAGATTATTGTCATATTTTTCTACCCTAAGGAGCTAAGAATGCATTAAAAAAAAAAAAAAAATCATTTCGTTTAAAAATTTTTCGAAATAATTTGTAACTAAACCATCCTTTTTTACTTTTTCTTTTTTAAGAATTTGTCGTGGTTCAAAAGTTATAAATTTTCGACATAATTGAGAAGGATAGTGAAAATACCTTTTTAATCTATTTGCTAACTCCAAAGGAAATACTTGGTCTTGGTCTCCCCATAATATCAATGTAGTCTGTATTGTCAAATTTTAAAAAATATTGCTATAACATCATAATGTTAATATGGTTAAAAATATCATTTTAGGTTACTCATGTAATTCGTGTTCATTCTAAAATTTAATTTTTTTATAAAAAAAAATTAACATATACTAACATTTCCCTTATAATTTTTAAAAATATGTCCATAAAAATTATTATTTAACAAATTTGAATTGAAAAAAAGAATAGATTTACTGAAAGTAGGCTATATTAATAAAGGTCTGTACTTACTCAACTCTCAAATTTTTAATAATATCCTTTAAAAAAAAAACCTCTTTACCTTAATTAATCTCGTATTTAAAATACATTTGAATTTTCAAAAGTTTTATTAATACCATTTTAAACTCTTATAAAAATTCATAAGATTCAAAAATTCTATTGTTAAAACACATTATTGGTGAGTTATCAAAAAAACTTCAATAATACCCTTGAAAGAAAAAATTTAAAAAACAGTTTTTATCGCTCTGAACCATTTTGATTTTATTTATTTATTTATTTTAATTTAACTAAAATGGAGTGGTAGAGAGGAAAGCAGGATTTTTCAAACCTTATCGATCTTGGGAAGATTAGATAAGGTCCGATCCTTGAGTAATTGTTTGATCAACTCTTCTTTCTCTTGCTTGTACTCTGTGCACATCACCTATAAGCAGAAGCTCGAATGAATTCTCAGCAACGCAATGGAACAGAAAAACAAGTGGAGAAGTCTATGAAACTGATTTAGATATAAGCAGAAAAACAAGTTGTATGAATTTTTTCTCCATTTAGTTCAATCTTGGAGCCTGATTATTGTTCTGGTATTCTGATCGGAAGAACAGATGAAATCCCCAATTTGACGAACAGATGAAATCCGAACGAGTAAACGAGGAAAAAATATTTAGTCAAGATCACTCACATTGATGAAATCGTTGATAATGAAAGTAGGCAAAACTCGAGCAGGCTTGACGAAGGTGAGGCGGATGAGTTCCTTGAGCTTCGCCGGCGTTTGAGGCAGTAAAATATCGACGGCCTCATCGATGTTTTTCACGACGAACATCCCGTCCGCCATATCTTTCTCTTCCAAGCAAACGCCGGTACAACAGAGCACCAATTTCTCCAATCGCTCTGGAAATTGAGCCGCCATACTGTATGCTACGAAGCCGCCGTAGCTAATTCCAACGACATTCACCGTCTGAACATCGAGCGAATCCATTAATCGCATCATACAGAGAGCTTGAAAGGACTCGGTCCTCTCCGGACGAGTTGTGTACGAATTGCCGAAGAAAATTAGGTCAGGAACGTAGACATTGAAGAACCGAATCATCGGCGATACGAACTTGTTCCATTGCCACATTGCGTTGGCTCCAAATCCATGGAGGAGAAGCAAATTAGGTTTCGTATCTCTTCTGAATTTGGGCGCCCAACAGTGGATGATCGTTCCATCGCATAGATCAGTAGTGATGGCTTTGAGGCCTGCCCTAGAAAAGGAGCGCCGGAAACACGAGTTCAAGGTGGATGAGAAACTAAAACAAGCCGCCATTATTGGATTCAACTGCTCCGATTTTCTCAATCCTACTTAGAATCTGCAAGAGAAATTGGGAGGAAATGTAAGAACGGCGAAGAAATTTACAGATTCGGGGGAGAAAAGTGGAAATCCTTTTGGAATCTGGATTGAGGAATCTGTAATAGGAACACGGAAAGAATTTATAGTTTGTTTGGGAGAAGAAAACACGGAAACTTGACCACTTGGCAAGGGATGCAGGAGAGTGTTAGGACCATCAAGTGTCAAATCCAAAGTCTAGGGCGTGGGGTCGTTGTAGAATGGTATTAGAGCCAGATAACTTTCACTTAAGTGAAGAGTAAGTAACGTGATCATATTGCAAGGGATGCAAGAGAGCGTTGTGGCCATTAGTTATCGAATCCGAAGTCTAGGGCATGGGGTCGTTATAGAATGGTATTAGAGCTAGATTCCCCTCCCAATAAGATGTTGTTTAGAAACGGATCAAAGCGGAAACTAGTAAATATGTGATTTCGGGCCACGTGGTATCGACCCTCCTTATTAATACAATAATCAAATTTCAGATTTCATTATATATATCATGTTTTAAAATCAATTAGAGTGTATTGTGTACTAAATTATATAAAATAATTATTGCATTAAAATATTTAACTAATTATTTATTATAGCTCATAAATTTAATCAAATCAATTAATTATATTTTAAAATTGTGATATATTAGAATGTCTCTATCTTAATTCTCAAATTTGATTAGTTGGATAACTACCCTAAATTTTACTTAACTAATCTAAGGTTATTAATATATTTTAAATGTTGTATTTATCTTAAATGGGCTATTATCATAAATGCAAGTTTGGCCTTTTATTACCTCATAAATGACGAATAAGGGAAAGAGAGAAAAAGAACCATGTTGAAATAAATTTCTTATACTAACTATGGTTTATTATGCTATTGCAATTCAACTTATACTAACCTGTATTAATATGTTAAAGGGAATTTAACGTAAATTAACCTATACTATGAATGCAAATGAAATTCAACTTATATTAACCTGTACTACGAAATGGAAGGCAACTATCTTATGCATGTGCCACAATTTCAGGATGTACGATGCCGCCGTCGATCTCACATGAGTGTTTGTCTTTATCTGAAAAATACAGTAGCACGAGACTTGAGTATTTCTAGAATACTCAGTAAGTGACCCCATATCGGGGTTATGCAACAACAACATGCAAAATGCTAAGACGTAACCTATCAGTCTATTCTTTTCCTATGACACTTATTCTAATTGGGCAGTTTGGATGTGTACCATATACTCTACACACAGCCCATACGTTTCGCACACCGCTAGGCCCCTTTTCTTGTCGGGCGAGCCTTATCTGATAGCTCAACTTTTGTCCGACACCCATTAGACTTTGTAACCGTCACGGCAGCATTATGTTAAACATAACGATACTTCGCCTGCCTAATGGATGTACGCGTCCGTACCCTTGTGAAGAAATAAGGGTATCTCCCTAATGCATGAGTACCTAACATTTTTCCGTTTTCAACATTATTAAATATAACCCCGCTATCATTATTCGTGCATTGATATCATTTCTCATTTTTCAATCTACATTCCATACATAATCCTAACAGGGTTATATTTCATGCAATTTACCGTGATTTCATGTCATACATTTCATGCTGTTTACGTTCAAATATATCGTACAATCATGCTAGAATCATCTAGGAACATCATAACGTCACAAGCACAACACCTCACATCATACTAAACAGCATACATTTATATTTCACAAGCTTACGTATTCAAGCATAACAGTCTAGCATACAATTTAATGACTCGTGCGAATCCACGGGCACGTGCCAACATACAACATACAACGTGTAACTTACGACAAATGAGCCACTTACCTGGTTAGCTTAAGTTGTTGTCATGAATATATCCTTAATGAAAGTTCGATTCTATCATTTGAAATGCAAGTCAACCTATGTGAGTCCATGTTATCGGTTTCAAGTTTGAACCCTATAAAATTGTTTCTCTAATTTATATTGGTCCCTCATTAAAAGTGTTATATATCTACAATTATATTTTTATTAAAAATCTTATTTTCCATGGTTATTGTTGTATTAAAAAAAAATAATAATAAATAGAGTTATTTGTGCGTGTATTTACTTTTCTCCCCCATATTTAGTTTATGATTTTTAATTCCTAATCTGTATTTACTCTTTATCTTTTAATTCTCAAAGTATTCCAAATTTCTAAAGATGGTATTTCCAAAATCTTTCATTATTTCCGTGTTTATTTTTGTTCACAAATTTGTTTGGTCATTCTATTTTTAATTTATTCATTTGGCTATTGATATAAATTTAATCTAGTGTTATTAATATAAATAATTGACATTTAGTTTTTAATTCAAATCTAAACGATTTCAAAAAAATAAATAGGATAAAAGAAAATGAAAATTTAATATCTACTTTATTCATCAGATTTATTTTTAAATAAATCACCAGTCAATCTCAACTGGGTAAATGTCATTCTTTCTTTTTTTCTGAAGGAAATTTAATTGATAGTTGTTTTTCTTGTTTATTATTATTATTATTTTTTTGTTAACTGTTAGGCCGGTTAGATGGGTTGGAGAGAAATTGTTTTTATTTATTTATTTATTATTATAATTATTATTGGCTATTACAAGTTGGATTAAAATTTAAGCCCGAGCTTAGATCGAATTCAGATAGACTCATTAAGTTATCTCATTAATGATTTTATTATATATATTATAATTAATTATCATGAAAATGGATTTTTATTTTTTTAATTGAATTTAGTTTAAAATTTCAGTATTTTCGACTTTCATAAATTTATTAAATTATAACGTTCCATTTAATATTTTGTTTTTTAAAACTTTTTATTAGTTTTTTAAAAAAATAAAAGTAAAATTTTGGTGGTGCATTAAATAATTAAATAAAATTAGGTTTACTCGTCTAACTCAAAATATCTCGACCTAAAATGTGGAGATATTATTAGAATTTTGTAGAAATAAAATAGGCTTGTATTTAGTTTATAATTTCAGTAGATTAATTAGTAAAAATAATAAAATAATTCAAATTATTGATAAAAATAAATAATTATTTTAATTAAATGATTAATTATAAATATTTTTAAAAGCGAACAATTGATTTATAATCAAAATTATTTAATATGTAATTTTAAAAATTATTAATTAAATAATATAAAATATAATTAATTAACAATATAAAAGAGATGCTGAAAGTTCAATCCAACTATTATATGGTGAAATACTCAAAATAGATTAATATTGAATGAGCTAATCAAAATTAATTATAATAAATATAACTAAATTATGACCGATAATCAAATAAGTAATTAATTATAATTATTGAAAATTAAAATTTTAAACTAGCTCAATTTAACTTATTCTAATTAATTATATTTAAGATATTTCATTATTTTAATAAAATTTATTTTTATAATATTATTGATTTATTCTTGTTAAATAGCTAATTGAATAATTTTGGTAAGTCTATCTAAAAATTAAATTTTATTTAATAAAAAAATTGAAACCGTAAATAATATTATAAATAATAAAGATAAGTGCATTTTTTTTTCCTTGAAAAATAATATGAATAAAATGTAAATTTTTTAATGTTGGGCTTAGACCGTGAGTTGGTCCAGTGGGCCGATAATTTAATGGGCCCAAACGTCCACAACCAGCTTCTGAATTGGCCCAATTGAAAAGATATGATATATATATATATATATATATATATCCCTTTAATGAAATTAAGGGTCAGATTTTAAATTGTATTTTCGGCTTCATTATTTTATTTATTTATTCATTCACATTTATCTCTTTAAAATTATAAATTTATTTTTTTTAGTTGATTAGGTAAAGTTTCAAGGCCGAATATGTTAGGACTTAAAATCAAGTGGTGATAAATGACCAAAATACCCCTATAAAAATTTAAAGATGTTTCGTGAATTTAAAGGACTTAGAGTGCTAAGAAACTTTATACGAGACTCATTTATGACATTAAGGATAAATTATTAGAATATGTTGAAGTATGAATTCCCACGAAAATGACAAAACTAACCTCTGCTTTAATTTTATATATTCAACCCTGTTACTTCAATTTTCTTTTTCGGCGAAGCCTAATGTAGTGGTCGAGGTGGAGTCCCGTCACATATGAGTCTAGATTTCCTTTCGTACTTATCTTTTAGTCTAAACGTGTAGTAGTATATTTTTGTGGTATCTGCCTGTATTTTGTATAATAATAAAAAAATTATTATTATTTTAATTAATTTTGGGATGTGCATGCACATGTTTAATATATTATTATTATTTCACGTCAGTAATTAACGGTCTATGACTCAAGTCCCTCGAAAAACCGAGTCATTACACTTTCTTATCTTTCAAATCAAATTAAGGGTGAGTTTGTTTATCACTTCAAGTAGTTTTTAAAAATAAATTATAACGCTCGAATAAAAGAGAAGTACATGAATGAACTGAGACTACATGCACCGTAAAAAAAGATTACCCAAATTTGAAAAGCAATGATAAATTTGAAAAGTGGTTTTAAAGGAAAGATTAGGGAAGAGATGTTACATATGAAAGTACCACCAAATAGATATAATTAGTATTAAAAAACAAGGATAATCATTTGTTCATGCGATGCTTTAAATAATTAAAAGATTTTGAATAACTTGAATGGAATTAAGTGTAAGTAAAGGGGTTTTGTAGCAAATGATTGAGGTTTTGGCCTTTTGGGTTGGCGTGGAGAGATGATTTTAATTATATTGTTGGAATAAAACTCAACTTATTTCAAAAATAAATTATTTTGTTATTATATTTAATGACGTTTATTATGTAGTTTTACGCTGAGAAATTATAAAATTACTTCAAATTTAGATTCAGTTATTACCGTAGGTTAAAATATGTCAATATGTCGATATATTCGAAACTTTGAGGTTGAACATGTTGTGCGTCGAAAGCTGACCAAATGTACTCACAACACCAGTGAACGGAATTGCACAATTGGATCTCGAGTGCTCTTTTATTAATTCTAAGCATAACATCATATAGCCTTTACCGTCATGGTTGAACCTAAAAATATCAGCACAAAGAAATTTAAAGTCACAAAGAATAGGACTCCCTAGACCAAAACTATATCAACCACAAAAGACCAGACTAGTAATTCCTAACAAAACTCTCCCAAATCCCGATATCCTAAAAATCTCACAAAAGACCGAAAGTTGCTGTGAGTTTATAACAAAAATAAATAAGATATTAATTTAATCAAAATCGTTATATTTTGAATGACTTTAATTACTAAATTAAATAAAAAACTTAACAATTTATGACCGAACATCAATATTACGAATTACTTTACCTTTAATATACGAAACATCAATAACGGTAGCAATTTCATCCAATCGTTTTAGAGGTACGATAGATAATAGTGTTTAAGAGCTGAGTGTTTGAGTGATAAATTTTAATTTATTTGAATCAAATTCAATTTAATTTAATTATATATATATATATATATAATATGAAATATATATATAAATCTTAGATAATTTTTTGAAGTCAAATATTTTAAATTTGGTTGACTATAAGTTAGTTAGAGTTAATATTTTGTTAAAAAAAAAATGAAAAAGAAATTAAATTATAATTAGTTGTATAAGGATAATTACAGAAAACATGTCAGACTACACAGACCTAGCCGCGTAGGGGTTAGGAGGATTGCACATTATAATAAAAAAATTAAAAAGAATAAAAAAATAAAAAATCAGTCAACCATCTACAGGTCCGAGTCTTTGGGTGTGGGGACCACATAACTGCCAGGTCAGCATTTCGCCCCATGAAATGAACTGTAATGATTAAATAACTAAAAAATGCAATAAAAATTAAGAAAGAAAGAAAAAAAAAGAAAAAAAAAAGAAAAAGAAAAACCCATATTTTCAAACTTTTATCCGAAAAAAGAATAAACAAACTCCATTAAATAAAAAGCTAAAGGACAGAAGCTTTAACAATGGCAGAAGATTTGCTGAATGTTCAGCAGCTTCACTTCACGCAGCAACATCACTCACCCGAATTGGTTTCCAGCTAATATTCCGCTTCTCTGAGCTTCATCTTCCTTCCTTCCTTCTCTCTTCTTTTCAGGCTTTACAGTTCTTCCGCTGTTGTTGATTTATCGGTCACGAATCTTGAAGTTCATTCGTCTCTTTCCGCTCCCGATTTCTACTTCTCCATCTCAGCAGGTACTTGTTTCGGATCTTCTCTTATTGATTATGTCTTCGTGTTTTCTTCCTGTTTTCCTCCTGGAGTTTGTTGATTTGTGGCTTGATTTATGATTTTTAGCGGTTTCTCTCATGTTTTCCCCTCGCATTTCTCAATAATTGATAAGCTGCGTTGCGAGTGATTTCGCTTGTGGCAGAGCCAAGTACAGAATGGTTGAGACTTGAGCGTTAAGAGTTGGAGGATTAGTTTAATGAGAAATTTCAAAATCGATGTACTTAATTTGATTTCGAAGTCAAAAGATGCGTTTGGTTTCATCTTAGTCGTCTGGATTTGGTTTCGGAGTTTCAAAGGGATTTAAAAGAGTGTTAAGAAGTCGCAATATTAAATTAGTGAGCGTAGAAGATTCAGTTTATCAAGAATTTTATATATTTTTGACTTAAATTCATTAAAGAGTTGTTATATTGATCAAACTCATTAATTGTTGACTGTCAATGAATGGTTGTCTTTGCAGATATGGCATAGCAATGACTGTATTCAACCTTTTTGCATGGATTTCATAACGTTGACCAATGAAAATGATGATAGTTAGGATGGGAGTACTCTATCTTACAATTCTAATACTGGCTTGCTTTCATTATCTTGCGGTGTCTGATTTTCAAGGTATGGATTGCCTCTCAAGATTGCGTTTGAAAATTGAGATGTCTCTTGTTATACTGCTGGTCAGAGGCTTATACCTTAAAATATGGTCTGTGATATGGAGCTAAAAGTTATTCATCTCACTAATCTTCACGATGTTTGTAGATTGTATTGATGTTCTAGAGTGGAAAGATTGAAAGTTTGAGTTCTTCCTCTTGATTGGCAAGGACAAATAGGGCATATGCAAGTTAAATTTTAGTGGTTTCCTTGTGGGATCGAATCAATGTGAATGCCTTTTTTTTTCTTTTCTTATAAAGGAAAATATGTGATTCTTTTTTTTGGAAACAAAGGTTCAAATTGCACTCTTTATCAAGAACAATGGAAAAGAGATTAAAACACTTGCACTCTTTGTTAATAACAATAAAAAAGAGATTACAAGACACTCTGTATAAACTAGCATAGTGCTTTGTATTTATTGGGATGAAAAATCTAGGTAGGGCCGAAGAATATTTATATAGCAGGAACTAGACACTCTTTTTTCTAAAATATCTAGGTATTTTATACCTAAAATACCTAAATTATTTTACAATGGGCAAATGTTAGTAATTTTATTTTCAAATTTGATTATATTTAATTGTGCAAATTTATTAATTATTGCTATTGAACTGATATACTCTACTCGTGTTCTGCTCTCCCACAGGCGATGCACTCTTTGCACTGAGGAATGCATTGAATGCAACTGCAAATCAGCTCGCAGATTGGAACCCAAATCAAGTCAATCCATGTACTTGGTCGAATGTTATATGTAGTGGAAACAATGTGATCTCTGTGTAAGATATAACTAAATGTGCTCTTTTCCATAGTTTTCTCTTCCATGTTACTGTATTATACTTTTTACTTCCCAATATAAAAGTTTCCTAGTCTGGTATTTGCTTACTTTGCATCTAACTTTCTCAGATCCTTGTCTTCAATGGGATTTACTGGAATCTTGTCTCCGAGAATTGGAGTTCTAAAATCACTTTCAACCCTGTGAGTAGTGTGTTTTTGTGTGTACAAGAACTTGCAGTCCTGAATACTTCATGTTGCGGGTGAATGTTTGATTATACTTTTCTGGATTTCATATTTTTTGTGTACTTTTTTTGTTATATATTATTTTTTCCGTCAGAGTAAGTTTTAATTCTTCAACCCAGGTGCTTAGGCTTCCTTAATGCCATCTATTTTGAGAGAAACTTCGTTTTGTATTGCAAGTATTTGTTGTATTAAAGTTTCATAATTGAAACTTGCCTTTTGTCATTGATTTATCAAAAAATCTTTCATGTAAAGGATCAAAAGTCTTCAACTTACTGAACTATACCATTATCAGTAACACTAAAACCTCGCTTAATAACTATTGAACTATATTCTTATTATTGAAGTTCTTGAAATTTATCAAGCCTGAGATTTTATTCTCTAGGAAGGTTTAATTGCTTGCATCACTTAGTCTGAAAGTTTCTTTTATGTTTGTAGTTTCAGGAAAGGGTTGAAAATTAGATTTGTTATTGCTGATAGGCATAACTTTTGAAAAGCGTATAGCCTGGTTTTTGAAGTACACCTGCTTATTAGCAATGAACACTAAAGCATGTTTGTTAATATATATTCATCTGCTACAGGATTTTGCAGGGAAATTACATAACTGGAGAGATACCAAAGGATTTTGGAAACCTGACAAATTTGGTTAGTTTGGATTTGGGAAATAACAGCCTAACTGGCCAAATACCGTCGTCCCTGGGTAATCTTGAGAAACTACAGTTCCTGTAAGTACTTAGTAATGATCTCAAATTGTGAAGATATTTTATGAGCGTCTGCAATGCATAGGGTTTATTCTTGAGATATGAGTCATTATTTTCATTCAAGCAGAACTCTGAGTCATAATCGTCTAACGGGGACTATTCCAGAGTCACTTTCAAACATTGATAGCTTGATCAATCTGTAAGTTTTTCTTTGTACATCAGAGAGTGAAATTATAACTGGAAAACTTCAGTTTCTGTTAACTAAGTGTTCTTCATTTCTTGTTTATGATTCTCCTGCAGTCTGCTGGATTCGAATGAACTCAGTGGCTCAATTCCGCAGCAGTTATTTCAAGTTCCAAAATTCAAGTACGTAAAACTTTTGAATGTTATTGATGTCTAAACACAATGCACACTAACACACTAGTTAGTCCAAGCTTTGTGTTGGTTCCTTTTGTTGAGTTATCTTTTTGTGTCTCCTTTTGTATTATGTCATTTCTTCTCCATGAAATCATTTTTTTTTTTTTAATGTAGCTGTTGATGGGTCATTTTATAGAATTAAGAGTAAGAGGCCTGTAGACCAATATTGCTAAATTAGAGAATATATTCAAACGTTGGTTTGAAGTTAAAAAGTTAAGGATGGTGTAACTATCATTGGTGCGAGATTCCACTTCGGTTGGGGAGAAGAATGAAACATTATTTATAAGGGTGTGAAAACCTGTTCCTAGCAAACGCGTTTTAAAATTCCTGAGGGGAAGTTCGAAAGCTCAAAGAAGACAATATCTGCTCGCGGCGACTGGACTCCTCTTAGGCTGTTTTTCTTGTTTTGTATTTTCCGTGTATTCTTTCATTGTCTCTCAACGAGAGCTTGACTTTTTACCGAAAAAGGAAGAAAGAAAAAAAGTTAAGGATGCTACGTCTTTCTGGTTGGACGATTAGCTTGGTCGGGGAAATTTGATGATTAGTTCCGTAGGCGGTTTATGCTATTTTCTTATAGGACATTGAATTGTTTTGTTGATCACAGCTTTTCTGGAAACAAGTTAAATTGTGGCGGGAAATCCCTTCATGCCTGTGCTTCAGATGGTACAAACTCAGGTTATTGAATCAAATTAACCTTGGGCTTTTATATTTTGATTACATAGTCCCCCCTTAACTGGAAGCAAAATGTGAAAGTTTCCCTCTTGCCAGGTTCTTCCAATAAACCCAAGGTTGGCCTTATAGTTGGAATAATTGCTGGGTTCACCGTTGCTCTTCTTTTGGTCGGTGTATTGTTTTTCTTGTCTAAGGGTAGATATAAAAGCTACAAGCGTGAAGTGTATGTAGATGTTCCAGGTAACTGTTGTGGCTATTATTGAATTACTAATAGGGATTATGCCAACAAAAGAGTGTTATTAAATGAACTAACCCCGGCAATGAACTGGAATTTTTGTTGATACCTGTATCTCAGAGTGTTGTTTTCCCCTGATTTTCCAATTAGGTGAAGATGATCGAAGAATTGCATTTGGGCAGCTGAAAAGATTTGCATGGAGGGAACTACAGCTAGCTACAGAAAACTTCAGTGAAAAAAATGTTCTAGGACAAGGAGGCTTTGGAAAGGTGTATAAAGGGGTGCTTGCCGATGGCACCAAAGTTGCAGTGAAACGGTTGACTGATTATGAAAGTCCCGCGGGTGATGCTGCTTTTCAGCGTGAAGTTGAGATGATTAGTGTAGCTGTTCATAAAAATCTGTTGCGTCTCATTGGGTTTTGTACAACTCAGACAGAACGCCTATTGGTATATCCCTTTATGCAGAACTTGAGTGTTGCCTACCGTCTTCGAGGTAAAGTATTGATATAATTAAATTTATCGTAACCCATCAGCTTAAGCTTTTAAATTGATTCGAGACCGTTTTTGTAGTACCCTAATCTAGACTGTCTTTCAATTTTGCTTGCTAAATGTTATTATAATACTATACTGATAAAGAATTGCTACTTTTTTCACTGATTTCTACGGTAATCTCGGATGCAGAACTTAAGCCTGGGGAGCCTGTTTTAGATTGGCCTACTCGAAAACGGGTGGCATTGGGCACAGCTCGTGGTTTAGAGTATCTTCATGAACATTGCAATCCAAAGATCATTCATCGAGATGTTAAGGCAGCTAATGTACTGCTTGATGAAGATTTTGAAGCTGTTGTGGGCGATTTTGGCTTAGCAAAGTTGGTTGATGTTAGGAAGACTAATGTCACTACTCAAGTTCGAGGGACAATGGGTCACATAGCACCGGAGTACTTATCCACCGGAAAATCATCCGAAAGGACTGATGTTTTTGGTTATGGTATCATGCTTTTAGAACTCGTTACGGGGCAACGTGCAATTGACTTCTCGCGCTTAGAAGAAGAAGACGATGTTTTACTGCTTGACCATGTAAGTAAATATACTTCCTCCTTATGATAGATTCCATTCGTGTCATTATTATAGATTAAACGCACGAACTTGACACGACGTCGAGGCTAAAAAAAAAGCCAAGTTCATGCATTCTTGAACTCCCCTGCCTTTTGGATCATTTTCATCCCTTGCTTACTAATCTCCAAGTTCATCTTGGCTATGAAGGTTAAGAAACTAGAAAGGGAGAAACGACTCGATGCCATTGTCGATCGAAATCTAAAGAACTACAACATTCAAGAGGTGGAGATGGTGATTCAAGTTGCATTGCTGTGCACACAGCCATTATCGGATGACCGCCCCGCAATGTCGCAAGTGGTTCGGATGCTGGAAGGAGAGGGATTGGCAGAGAGGTGGGAAGAATGGCAGCATTTGGAGGTGAGTCGCAGACAAGAGTATGAGAGACTGCAGAGAAGATTTGAATGGGGTGAAGATTCTATACATAGACAGGATGCAATCCAGTTGTCTGGTGGAAGATGAGGTACCAAACTTAACTCCATCTCTCTACCTATGAGACCATATCACTGTTCTTTTGGTTCCATCCTTCAAGCATATTATTATACAAACTTGCTCTGTAAATTTCCACTGGTTTCTCTTTTTTTGCTTTCATTTCTTGGCTGTGCATCTTTCCAATACAGCCAAGTCAACAAAATTCATCATAATATTCATGTGTGCCATAACATCTCTCTTGTTATACTCATCATATTTTTCCTTTACCTTTACTTCCATATAGTTAAATTCTAAATTTAGTCGATGATTTGATTATAGTTAGTTTCTCTTGTTAACTAATCGAAAAATATGAAATAATATCTTGGTGTTAGATGTAACAGCCCGAGCTCGAGCCCACTGCTACCAAATCTTGTTCTCTCTAGGCTTTCCTCTTTGTATTTCCCCTCAAGGTTTTTAAAACGCTATGCTAGAGAAAGGTTTCTACACGCTTATAAAGGATATTTCGTACTCCTCCCTATCTGATGTGGGATCTCACAATCAAAGAGAAGAACAAGTGCCAGCGAAGACGTTAGGTCTCAAAAGGGGGTAGATTGTGAGATTCCTCGTCGGTTGAAGAGGAGAATGAAACATTCTTTATAAAGCTGTAGAAACCTCTTCGTATTAAACGCGTTTTAAAAACCTCGCGGGAAAGCGTGAAAGAGAAAGCTAAAGAGCCCTTACATGAGATTTTTCTTTTTAAGTAATTATATTCAGTTGTGTTCATTGTGCCAAAAGGCTCACGTGACTAGCCCACTTAAGCTTGTGCATTGACTTTCTCCGCTGACTTTCAGTTTAGATTCGTCAACTTTGACCAATTTTTTTAAAATCTCTCTGTAAGGAATGTTCAAACAGTTCATATTATAAAGCTTTTCTTATTAATTATCCAAACAATAACCCTTTTGATTTAAATCCCACAGTTTACAAAAATTTGAATAAATTATTTTATTATTATTTAAGTTTACCTGTTTTTGGTGTTATTATGCAAACTTTACATTCATAACATTTGTCAAATAGTTTACCCAAGTTCATATGGCATTTACTTAAAAAAATAAATATTAATTTAGTGTTTTCGCACTCGATTTGAGTTAGAGAAATCTTTTGCAAAAACCTAAAATTTTGGATTGATTAAATTGGTGCTATGAACGACTAATTGAGTTCATAGCATAATCCAACCAAACCTTTTATTTTCAAGTTTGATTGGGTTAGGTTGTTGGGTATTTTTTATTAAAACAATTATTTGAAAAAAACCTACTTATCAACGATATATGTTATGCTAATAACTAACATGACTGCAAAGGTCAAATATTCTTAATCTTCAAAATAATCTTAAAATTAGGGTATGATTAAGTTAGATTGTAACCCTATGTTTGGATCTGTCCGATTGACTTTTTTTTGTTTTTTTTTTTTTAAGAATTAATCCAACAAAAACCTAAAAAAATCTTATCCAATCTAATTTTTATGATTTGGGTTGGATAATTTAGATTGGTCGGACTCGGTAAAGAAAAGTTGTCGAATAGGAAGAGAAAGATTTGAAAAGTAAAAAAAGCAATGTTCTCGTGAGATATTGAATGTTTGCATCCCAAGTTCCAATTTTATGGGAAAGAGACCAAATTTGGATAGTCCTATGATTTTTTTTTAAAATTTTTCTGGAAGTCAAATATATGAATATGATTGCATGCATGACGTTAACTTCATTCAAACAAAATCTCCTCTTCCTTATCTCTCAATTCTTTAGACTTCTAAGATATTTTATGGATGTCAAATACTAATTCAATGAAATTTTGGCTCCATTTTTTTTTAATTATAATGTTTTTCATGTTCTTATCGACCCTCGCTCGATCTGATTCAATTTGTTTTGTAATAATACAATGTTTGCTACACGCTCCGACCTCGATCTTAGTTAATCTCAAAATTTTATTACTGTATTAAGGTTGCTAACTTTAAAAGCGTCTCATATATATATCTAAACCCTATTTTGATTATTTTTTAAAAAAAATATGAAGTAAGAGAATTGAACCTCAAAATTTGATCGATGACACATACGTTCATCAGTTGAGCTATGTTTTGGTTGACACCCTAGCCTCACCTCTAACCATTGGCTTATATCGTACACATAACCCATTTCTCTCATGTTATTAAACAAATTTGCATCATACTTCGTTGATGTGAGATCCCACGTCGGTTGGAGAGGGAACGAAACATTCTTTATAAGAGTGTGAAAATCTCTCCTTAGCAAAAAAAACCTTGAGGGGAAGCCCGGAAGGGAAAACCCAAAGAGAACAATATCTGTTATCGGTAGGCTTGAGCTGTTACAAATGGTATCAAAATCAAACACCGGGTGGTGTGTCAGCAAGAAAGCTGGGCCACGATCTCATATAGTTAGAGAGGAAAACAAAATATTATGTTATAAGAGTGTGGAAACTTCTCCTTAATAGACACGTTTTAAAGTTTTGAGGAAAAACCCGAAAGGGAAAGCCGTTTTTAAAATTGTGAGGAAAAATCCAAAAGAAAAAAGCCAAAAAATGACAATATTTGCTAGCGGTAAGCTTGAGCGATTACAAATGGTATCAAAATCAGACACCAGGCACAGTGTCAGCAAGGAAGCTGGGTCACGAAGGGGGTGGATAGTGAGATCCCATATCGGTTGGAGGGGAAAACAAAACATTTTGTTATAAGATTGTGGAAACTTCTAAAAAAGCCTGAAAGGGAAATCTGTTTTTAAAATTTTGAGGAAAAACTCGAAAGGAAAAGCCCAAAAAGGACAATTTCTGCCAGCGGTGATTTTGTACAGAAAAAAAAAAACTAATAAACTCCGACATCATGCATGCAATCATCTTTGGCTACGTAATAATTATTGACATAAAAAAAAACAAGACAAAAAAAAAAAACATTCACGAGGACATGATCCATGATTAATATCGTACAATTCAAACCCTAAATTAGTTCTCAAATTTGAACAATCTTTTGAATGTTTGATTCTTATGGAACCCGTGAAGCTCTTCAAATTCCATCTATAAATACAACACCAATATCATCACCTTCATCTCTTCAACAAACCCAATCCATTAAGCTTTCAAGAGCCAAAAAATTCCCAAACCTTCCTTTTTATCTTCAAAAGTTAGCATTTGTACTAGGTTTTGCAACAACCACCATGTCGGTTTCTTTGGAAGCTTTGGCAATGGCGGGGATTACTTCCAATGAGTGGGCTATGGATGCTGAAGAATGGGAACAAAACGAAATCGAAAACGACGTTCCACCGCATTTATTAGCCGATGAAGACGACGATGACGATAACGTAACGAGTACTGTCAGCAATTATAGCTTCCCGGTCGCTGGATTCTTCGATAGCTTGCATCGGGAAGATGGCGGAGCCGATGATATCCATTGCTTCTGGGGGATCTTGTGTAGCTTAAGCAAAAGCTTAGAGAAGAGGGCTTCTAATGGGATGAGTTCAGTGAGAATCATTGTGAGAACTATTTTAGGGTTTCTACTGGTGAAGATCATGAAGATCATTAGTGCACACACATCCAACATGATTATTCCTTGATATATATATATATATATATATATATATATATATATATATATATATTATTCTTTTTATGTTATAATACTTTTTGATTCGTAAAGATCTGTCCCCTCGTATAATACGGGGAACTCGGGTTGTGTGACTTTCTCTTATCTTATACGGGTTTATTTTCTCTAACTTGACTTAACCGTTAGAGTATTGCTTTCATATAGCTAGAATTATCGGTTCAAATTCAATAGTAGGTAAAACTGACGAAACCCCTGCTTTTGCCACTATGACAACAAGTGCAGTCGGACATCAAGGAACCAACTGAATGATCAAAGCATCGATCGCTAAAGTTAACGAAAATGGTAGTTTTGAAATAAACCTAAAGTTAAAGGGTTAAAAATGAAAATTTTGAACGTTCGGGAATGTAATTCAAATATATCAATTGTCCAAAGACTTTGTATTTCAACCCTAAACTAATTGCAACAACACTCTTGGTTGATATTCGGTTTTTTGTATTTTACTCGAAATCAAACTTTAAGGTATTTCTCACTCATATATAGCCACACTTTGGCTATATACGAGTATTTCTAGCTGGATATAGAAGTGGGTATTTCTCGCTCAATATAAATTAAACTTTATTCAGTCTTTCACTGTGTCGTGTTAAAAGATGTTTTTGAACACGTAACTCCATGACAACGTTTTAAGATGAAGTTTATATTTTATAAGGTCGTTTTAAACACTTTTTCTGCATAAATGATGACAATAGCGACCTTAAGTTCAGTAGAAAAGTTAGAGTCGTTAGACTTTAACAATATCTCGTTCGAATCTTTAAAAACTAATAACATACGTCATGCATGTAATCATCATAATCCTCCATAATTTTTTCAAGAATGTATTCATAAAAAACATTAGCAAATTGCATAATATTCACGAGAAAATCACCCCTTTTAATTATACATATATGACCATTCAAACCCTTAATTTGTTCTCAATTTTGAACAACTTTCTTATGAAACTCGTGATCTTATTTGAATTCCATTATATAATATAACGATATCATCACATTCCACATAAACCCAATTAATCTCTCAATAATCTCCCGACAACAAAGTAGATTTGTACGAGGTTTTCTGTCAGTCATGTCTGTTTCTTTAGAAGCTTTGGGAATGGCCGGGGTTGATTCTAATGAGTGGGCTATGGACGTTGAAGAATGGGAAACGATACTCGACCACGTTCTGCCCCATTTATTGGCCGATAAAGATGAACCGCCCAAGTCCATTGATAACCGATATTGTCCGCTTTGACTCATTACGTATAGCCGTCAATCTCATAATTTTAAAACATGTTTACTAGAGAAAAGTTTTCAGACACATATGAGAAATACTTTGTTATCCTCTCCAACCAATGTAGTATCCCAGTATTTATATGTCTCCGGTTGCCAGAAAGATACGAAGGTGCGGTGTTTGCTGCGGTTTCCGACGATCATTTGCCATTTTCGAAAAAATCATGGAGAAGAAAACTTCTAGCTAAGAAGCGGATATACTTTTTTTCTTCGATTCATTTTAAGCTTTAATTATATATTTGGTTCCTTAGTTTTTAGGAATTGTTTCTTAATTTTCAATTTTGTGTTCCATAGACACGATGAAACAGTCATTTTTAAGCTTTCAATTTATTTTTAATAAATATATAAAGTTATTATTATGATTTTTT